ATGGGTCAGACTCGTGCACATCATCTGGAGTTGTCTATGACTGTATCATATGTGAGAAGATACCAGTGTTAGCACATGCTTTTCTTAGTAAATACTAGCTTGTGTGCCTCCAGCTTGGCCAGCAAAGCATTCCTGCAGAACTGGCTCCAGTCTCTGTTGGCTGGCAAATGCCTGCCCTAGCAAAAGTGCCAAACCTTAGACCAAATTTGCCTATATCATCTTTTCTGAAAGTGAGGCCTGTCGGAATTTTCTGCAGGTTGAGACAACAGATCGACTTTCAGAAAAGAAGTAAAACTGCGTTCTTGTAGGGAACCTAGAGTCTGAGGAAGTGGTCTCCTGGCTAACTTCTGCTCCTTGTGCACTTTTAATCTTTGTTCTGCTGAAGAAACCAACATACTTTGAACGAGTTTGAAACTTGAAGTCAGTGAGCAGAGGACCATCCCGTTTCCTTGCACCATTCCATGTGGATTGGCTATCTGGTGAGCAAAAGCCCCTTCCTGCTGCGTGTCAGATAGCTCTTTCCCTTCCTGCCTCTCCCCTTCTCCTCAAGTTGGATTCTTTGGTCTCTTGTTGTTGCTTCCTAGCAATGTTGGCCTTGTGTTCAACTATGGTTTTTCTTCATGTGTTTTATTGGTTTAAAAAAAAAACAACAAAAAAACAAAAAAACACCAAAAACAACAACAAAAAACCACAACGACAAAAAAAATCACAAAACAAACAAAAACTAAACAAAAATAAACAAACAAAAAAAAAAACAAAACAAAAAAAACCCTTCCAGAGTGTGCTGACCATTGTATTGTCCTGTACAGAGCCCAGGTCATTAGAGTCCAGCAGAGATAAAGTGTGTTATGCAGCACCCAGTTTTTTAAGAGTATGGTTTGTGCCAATGCCCCTTCTTTAGTAGTGCCAGAGACTCTTTACAAGTGCCAATGTGGTGGAAATTATTTGGTTATACTTGTATATTATAGGATCCTGATTTAAGACAATGTAAACATTATCCTATTTAAAAAGATACTATATAAAATGCTGTTTTTAAACCTTGTAATTTGCAATGCATGTATTGTTGTGCGTGTTGGGGGGTGGGGAGGGAAGAGGGTAGGGTAAAGGAGTTTCTGAATAAGATGCCCAGTGTCAGGATCTATTCAGACTCCAAACTGTCTCATTCCAGTCCAGGAGTGTGATTGTTTCTTGGAAAGATCCCACTCTGACTGCTGGGCAACACCCTTATTACAGAAATATCTGATGGAAATTGATTTTCATATCTTTCTCCTGAAATAAACTCTCTGTTTGAAATTGGAATAAATTTTGTTCCTAAAAGTCGTGGTGTTTGAGCGTGTGTTTCTTCACTCTCGTTCCCCCTCTCCTCCTCCCTGGTTGGCTTAGCAAGTTCTGTAGCTGATGGAAGCAGGTTCTGCCTCCTGCTGAGAAAATCAGGACCCTGAGGCATAGAAACAAAGGGTGTTTTAATATGCAGTAACGATGTATAATGCACTGTACCAATAATCCTGAAGTGTGAACAGTGTCTGACTGGGGTGCAGGTATGCAATGGTGGCATCTTGATTTAAAGTTTTCTGGGATTTTGGAGTAGAATTGCATAGCAAAGTTGTTGGTATTTGCTGCTACCTCTTGCTGTAGCATCAGCCCATTGCAGGCACAATTCCAAGCAGGGTATCTGTTGCCAACAGCAGGAATGTTGGTGGGACTAAAACTGCTTTCAGTCTTGTCTATTAGAAACATGGACTGAAATAGGAAATGTGGCTTAAAATTATCTCTTAGTCCAGGGATGGATGATTGTGAAAGCTTTGGCAAAGCGATTTCCTAGTATGGAGTTTGTTAAGTTTAATTCTTTTTCTCTGGGATCATTCTCCAGGAATTTCAGGTTAAATCAGCTGGGAGCGGGCAGAGCTGGCTGACTTCCTCTATGTAAGGGTGCCTGTGTTTTCGGAACCTGCAACTGAGGATGTTCTACTCCCCTCAATATCACTTAACACAGGTGAAGCTGCAGGTACTGGACAGCCTGAGATGTTGTGTTGGCTTGCACCAGGAGGGTGGCTCTGGTCTGTTGGCCACAGCACTGACTGGCCCTTGTCGCTGTTTTCTAGTTACGGGTGAGTGTACATTGCTTTTCTTGGTGGCTGTGTCTCCTCACCAGCCAGGGAGTGTGTCACAGGGGCTGAAAGCTGTATGTTTGGTTTGCTGTTCATGTCCTCAGCTCTGCGTGGGTCACGTGTTGTGCTGGTCTTTTAAATCACATCAACAGGTTGAGACTTCAGCGAGGGTTTGTTCTAAACCAACCTCTTTTTTGTGTGCTCTCCTCAGGCATACCAGTTGTCTTTGAGTTACTTTGAGTTAACTAGAGTTGTCTTTGAGTTACTTTATCTTCTGTGATGCAGTCTGATCAGGAATTTAAGCCTCTACAAGCAAATTTTGTAACATCTGTATAACCACGAGTTGAGAACTCGTGGCTTTTGAAGAGGTTTTTGTGGCTCCCATACTGGAGTGTGTGGCAAGACTCCACATTTGGTCTGTAGGAAGCTCCTGGACAATGCAGCTGCCCAACTGAATGAGGATGTGGCTTGGCAGGGACCGCAGCTGCTGCCCAGGGCTGTTCTGCATCCCCAGCTGGGTGCTGCTACTTGTTGTCCCTGGCCACTTCTATGCACTGCTCCCAGAACTGCTCCTCCCTTCACCTCGGGTGAGTATCTGTAGCTCCTGGCCATGGAAATACGTGGTGTTTTCACAAAGCACCCAAAAGGCAGGTCTGTCCTGCTGTGCTGGTTTGTATCCTTCCTCCCAGTGTCTCAGGCCTTCAATCTGCAATTCTTTGAAAGCTGACAGGCTCTTTGCACGGTTGAGGTGATGCAGGATGAGAGCAACCTTGGAATTCTTCTGGAAAGCATTTGGCAGCCTGATTGGAAAAGAGTTTTCTGCTTTGCAGCCCTTGATTCAGAGCAGATTAAATGATATAAAGAACCCTAGGGGAGTTGCCTTCCTCGGCTTAGCCATGAATGTACTTCCAAACTGCAAGAGGTAAGTTTTTTGGATTGGTTCAGAAGTTGTTCAGAGGCAGAACCTTGAAGAACACACACTGTTGCCAGCCCAAAGAGGGCACTCTGTGCATAGAAAACCCAGCAGAAATGTGCTAAAGGTGCTCTCCTTGTGCAACATCATCCACAGCAAAACCCATTGATAACTATGCTCAGTTGCAGCTTTTCTTAGGTGAGTGACCTGGGGACTTTTAGGCATTTTAAATGACAAGGTTTGGAAAGTATTTGGAGTCTTCAAATCTTTGGTCTAGTGTTTTGTGTAGTGCTGCTGCAGATACTGTACTGGCCTCTGACAAGTCACCTTTAGGCAGAGGTGAACATAAGGAAAGGCAAACACTCCCCAGAAGGGGGTTTTTGGAATCCTTCAATGAAATCCTAAGCATCTGATGGAAATGTTTGCTCTCCTCTTGCTAGGTCTCTTCTTGCCAAATCTCCAAGTTAATTTCCTTTGATTGTAATATTTTTTTAATTCTATTATAGTAGAGGTGGGGATTTATTTTTTTGTCTTAAACCACAAAATGTAGAAAGAAAATATTTGCTGAATGTCAGGCCGTGGTGGGTCTGTGTGGTTCTTCTCTTTGGTGCCAACTTCACTAAAAAGACCTGAATGACTCGGTGTGCCCTGATGAACACCTGTGTGTGACAGAGAGTTGGTCAGGATGTTCCTCCCTCAGGGCACCTGCCTGAGTCCAGCTGCAGTGGGATGCCCAGAGCTGGAGAGGGCAGCAGGGAGGGATGGAGTCAGAGCCTCCCCAAAACTATGTTGTGCTCTGGAGAGCTGAGCTGCTGCAGCACCTTCTGCCCAAATCACTCCAGCCTCCATGGCTCAGTGCTGCTGCTGCTCTCTTTGTTTCTTGTTAGAAGAGGTTAAAGTCATGATTCTTATCAACAGCAAAATCAACACAACACTGAGGGAGAAGAGATGAATCTGGCAGGACCTGCGATTGCTGCTTCTTGACAAGTTGCACTGAGGAGAAGATGCTGGTTTTCTGTTGAATGGCAACCAGGCAGAGATGGGATGGAGTAGAATCAAAAGGGGCCCATGGGGGAGCCGATGTGATAGAGGAAGGAAGTCCCCCAAAGTACCAGCTTAGAGGTACCTGGAGGGATTGTTTGTGCCCAACTGCATGTGAGGAGAGCCCCTGCCCTGAAATCCAGGCTTGACACCTATTCTGAGGGTTTAGGTGGGACAGAAAACTGAGGCCATTTTTTGGGATAGAAGCTTCCAGCTTGAGATTCAGCTGTCTGAGCAGTGACTTTCTTCTGAGCTGTTCAGGACTGAAGCCAGTGGCCAGGAGAAACCCAAATCACATCAGGAAAAAGGCTTTCAAATACAGATGCAATTTATTGTTTTTATATATTCTTACAACACTGGAGGTACAGAAGAGGGGAGAAAGGAGGCAGCAGGTTTCAGAGGTAGGGGACAGCAGCAGCAGTAATGAAGCAGGAACTGAAAAGTGTCTTCCTTGGAGCTTAGGCAACCTTAAAACCTCAGGGCTTGGGCAAAGGACACCCAAACATCTGCTGTCACAAATGCAAAGGTCAGGGAGGATGCTGTTCTTTGGATCCCTCTGATCTAGTTCTACAGCCTTCCCCAAAGGGTAACAGACATCCCAGCAGCTACTGGCACCGCTCTTGGGGCTGCCCTGCTGCTTCCCCTCTAGAGCTGTAACCACAGCCAGCTTGAAAAAGGGGTAAATAATGGCAGCAATGTGGAAGCACACACTGTGTGACCAGGCACTCCCCAGTTTGCACAGGGAATAAACACAGTCGAGCCCTGATCTCTGTGCTGAGCCCCCCACTGGCATAGCTCGGCTTTGCCACAGAGGAGTCCTTGTCACATCCACGAGGATCAGTGTGGGATGTTTCCCAGTGAGAAAGGAAAAGAAAGCTGGTGAGGACGAGACTCTGGAGTGTGAGTTCTCCAGGGCAGCAGCTGCAGGGAGAACAGGGTCATGCTGACTTCATGACACTGTTGACCCAGGAAAGGTAGGGAGCGATGTGTGTGTAGAAACCAGGCCAGTTGTTATGCCTGTAGGAGAAGATGCCATAGGCTTTGTTATTGCAGACCAGTGGATCCCCGGCATCACCCTGTGAAATGGAGGAGGAGAGAGATCAGTGCTGATTTATGTGGGGTCCCCAGGGAAAGGGTGCCTTTGCAAAGGTCAGGGAGGCTGCATATATCAGGACAGAGCTTCTCCAGGAGAAGCCTGGACTTGCAGTGGATGGGGGTAGCTCTGGGTCCAAAGGGACTGCTGACAGCTTTGCTTGGGACCCAGCACAGCTACAGCTGGACCAACACTGAAGCTTCATTTCTGCCCTTCTGCTGGCTGCAGATCCAAAGCGCCCTCTGACCAGCTATGAGGCTTAGAGGGAACCCCTCTGACCAAGCTGTTATCCCACTATGCTGCTGCAGACTCCAAGGTCCTCTGCCATGGGAAGACAAGGATCTTCTCGTCCCTTCTGCTTCACCCAGGGCTAAAACCGTCCCTACAGTTTCCTCCTCCCTAAGTCAGAGACTGACCTTTTCAGGAACCTCAGCAGATCTGCTGCCACAAATCAAGTTTTCAGCAAGCCCAGGGTAGCGGCTGAGGCAGTCCCTTTGTTTGATGATGGTGACAGTGGCTTCACGTAACGTGCCAGTGGGTGTCTTGTAGCCGACTACGCTGCACACAGTCCCACCACGAACTTTGGATTTTTCAAAGGAAATGGTCCTAACGAAGCTGTTGCTGGTGGCTTTGCCCTTCAGCTGGGCAAGGGGACAGAAAATAGAGAAATAAGTGCTTGGCCTGTACATTTGCTGTGATGAAGGCTGTTCCCTTCTGCTCCAGGCAGGTAGTTACCTTCAGCAAGAGGATGTCATTTCCCTCCTTAGGACTGGTAAAGTGTGGGTGGCAGTGATACTCTTCGACTTCGAACTTTTGCCAGCTTTTCTCTTTCATTTGGACTGTGTGGGCTCCGAGGATGACAGTCAGAGGTTTGTGGCTGATAAAAATCAAGCATAGCGTATGTTGTTAGTTTTTTCCTGTCTTGCCTGGTAACACTGAGGCTAATCTCCCAAGGGTATGGCCAGGAGAGACCAGCCAATATATTACATACATTGTGTATAGAGTGTGTGTGTGTGTATATATATTATGTATATCTATGCATATGCTCTCTCATATATATACTAATGTATATGTACTATTAGCATAGATACACTGTATGCTATATATACAATAGTACACATATGTAGTGTGTATAGTGTATACTTTCTATATACAGGCTGTGTTATACATGCATGTTTTAAGAAGAATGGTGGGAGCAAGGAGCTCTGCCAGTGAATCTGCCCAGACAAGAGGCAGGTTCCTGTCTTACAGGCAGGGTCTGCAAGGGTTCTTTTACCTCTAGATCTCAAACTGGGCAGATTTGATCCAATACTGCTGCTGTGTACTAAGATATGTGGACTGTTGGTCTGGGCTTCATAGGCCTGTGGAAGTCAAGGGATTTTTGAGTCAGGAGCCTTCTATGTCCCTTTACTTGCCTTTACACCACCTGCAGAAGGGGCTGCCTTGGGAAAATTGGGAGGACCTTGGGGTACATGCATCTCCCAGGTGAGATGTGGACATCCAGGCTTCTGGGTTCTCCTGGTCCTCCCTTTTGCTGCTCGGGTGTGGGGACTGGCCCTGAACCTGGGTCACTGGCACCAGGGCAGATCTGTCAGCCCTGAGGTGAGCTGTAGCTACACCCAGAGTCATGCACATATAGAAAAGCCCTCCTGCCTGTCCATGCCCTAGGCTGTCCAGCTGGAGGGATGGAAAAGGGCTGGGCAAGCAGCTTGCTCATAGTAAGTAATTCTGCTAACAGTCTCGAACAGTCTCTTGGTGGCAGAAAGGACAAAGCCTGACAACAACCATCCCTGCCATGCCAGCAGGTCAGTGCCAGCAAGGGAAGAAGCCACTTTGACCTCTGGGTGGCATCTAGGAAGAATAAAATGAGTCATGGAGAAGGAATAAAAAAGAAAGGTAAAGTATATGAGTGTGGGCTGGGGAGACAGAGAGGGAAGGCTGCAGGGAGAGCTGTTGTGGTGCTGTCCGTGCAGCTGTGCCCTGCCCCACAGCACAGCCTGTGCTCCCTGCTGGGAAAAGAGTCTGCCCATGGCCATGTGGGAAGTGACTCCAACTCTGTGTAGGAGATGGTACCCGGGTCATGGTGGTGCAATTGCCTCACTGCACCAGGTGCTATATGAACACAGCTAAAACTTACACAAGGCACTGAGCTGCTGTCATCACCCAGTTCGGGGCCACAAGGAACCCTCCGCAGGAATGGTTGTTCTTTCCTTGCAGATAGGCCATGTAGGGTGTGGAGGGTGTCCTGGCTTCACCTCCTCCCTCCCTCCGATTCCAGGAATAATCTGCAATGGATAGGACTGAGGACAAGGGGATTGGAGGGCACAGGACATGCTGTCTGGGACTCATCCTTCCCCAACCCTCTCCTTGCCTCCAGCCCACTCTACTTACTGGTGTTGACTGGGGGCCACATCAGCATCAGGAGAGGGAGCAGGAATGTCTGCAGGTGCTCCATCATGGCGTTCTGGGCTTCAGTGGATCCCTTAGAGGTGGGGTGCAGCCAGGGTCTCTTCCTGCTCCCAGCAAGGTTTTATAGCCTGAGACCAGACTCCAGGAAACCGCAGAAGTCAGACTCATCTGATGAATCTCTCCACAAGTTGCATACCTCAGCAATCTGAGAGGGGAATTCAGTCAATCTTAGCCTTGGGCATCAACCCACCTTCATCTTGGGCCTGATCTGGGGTATCTGACGTCCTTCTGGGCCCAAAGCCAATTTTAGGTCATTGCCTTTGTGCTGGAAGCTGTGAGGAACATGGTCACTCTTATCTCTTTGACTTCCTGTGGGCTCTTCCCTTGCAGCTTCTATTTGTTGTTGAACACTTGCAAACTCTCTTAATTTTCATCAGCAGCCCTACAAGACCAAGATTTCTTTCACCTGATGCACCAGTTCCAAAGACCATGAAGTGGCAGTTTAGGGCTTTCCTGCTCTCTCTCAGTAGGTGTAGTCTTGTCTAATGGAGCAAAATTGCTGTGAATGTGTTTATAACCCTGCACAGATATTAGGAAGAAATTCTTGGCTGTGAGGGTGGGGAGGCCCTGGCCCAGGTTGCTCAGAGAAGCTGTGGCTGCCCCATCCCTGGAAGTGTTCCAGATCAGGTTGGATGGGGCTTGGAGCAACCTGGTCTAGTGGAAGATGTCCCTGCCCATGGCAGGGGGCATGGAATGAGATGACCCCTAAAGGCCCTTCCAACTCAAACCATTCCGGGATTCTATGATAAGAGCAAAGTTTGAACATTCACAGTTCAGCTGTGACGAAATGGGGCTGACACTTCCTTGCTGCCCTCACTAACTGACGGTAAATTGGCTTTCCTCCCTGCCTCCAGTGCCACAGCGTAAACCCCAAATTAAGGCCTAAAGGTTCCTATTCTCGTGCAAAGACTGCAAGGGCTGGAGCTTCAAGGAAAACCCTGCCGTGACGAAGATTCACACTGCACAGATAAGTAGCTGTAGCCTGTTCTCTTGCAGATTTCTTAACTGATAGCAGCTGTGAGCAAAAGCCCAAACATGGAACCTTCTCAGTTTCCCCGGGGCAGCCTGGGTGGTGAAGGCAAAGGTGACATAGTTTCCCTTCATCCCAGGCAGGAACATGGAGGACATATGAGCAGACATCAGGGCGGACTGTAGGTCATCTCCTCCCTCTGATGGAAGCGACTAGTGGGAGACTTTGAGAGACCATGAGAGCAGGGTAAGCGCCCCCTTCCCTTGGATTGCACACACTTTCTATATGTTTAAAATTCCCCACCGGTTTTCCCCACCACAAACCAGCTTAGTCTCCTCTTGAGTTTACACAAACATCTGTCATTCTGTGCCAGAATGCTCAGCAGCTCAGTTATTTACCAATGCATTGTCTCTATCCCTCATCATCTCCTCCAGGAAGCTCTAGCTCGCTCTGTATATAAGATGCTACCAGAAACTAACTAGAACAACGGAGACGAGGGCTCAGAGGGCAGGTTGTTTTTCTTCTGGTGCAGACCATGGAAGGCAGTTCAGACTCCAGTGCAGGAGTCATCTGAAAACAGTGCTCAAGCATCCTTTGTGGGGGAAGCTTGTCTCTCAGCATCATCTGGCTGAGAGGAGAGCCATGAGCCTTTTGGGTTTGGGCCACCACTGGAACAGACTCTGCCAAGAGGAACAGAAACACGCCAACCAGCTTCACAGCAGACAGCCCCCAGCTAGGACTCGCCCTTGCCTCCTCTCTGGGATCCTAAAGCTCTGTCCCTGACATCTCAACAGCCACCTTCCCCTTGCCAAGGCCACCGTCCACAAAAAGTCCAGTGAAGCCTCCTACAGCTGGTTTACCCTGTCATCCAGCCTGCTGGTTTGGCTGTACTCTGTCCTAGGGTGCAACATCTCCCAGCCATAAGGTCCCTGCAGAGGGGACAGCCTTTACTCTGTAGAGAAAGGCAGCTTTTGAGCCCTGGTACCTGCTGATGCACCATGTCCTGTCAGCTGCCAGCTGCTTCCAGGAAGGTGATGATGATGCTGAAGTCAGTAAATCGAGTGTGTGCCCATCACTTTTCCCACCCCATTTCTAACTGGGCTTTTCTTCTCCTTGCAAAACTCTCATCATCCCCATGACCCCAGGGAGGGCAACCATAGCTCTTGTTTCCAGGCTTGCCAGTGATTCAGGATGCAGAGCCATGACTGCTGCTGTCCCAACAGTCTGGCCCTTCGCTTGCAGCAGCCAGACCCTCCCTCCCTCTCTGTGGCAAGGCCACAAGAAAGACAACACACACTGGGAAATGCAGCTTTGAGTTTACTGTGGATGTTTTAAGTACAGCAAGGTTCAAGAGGGGACAGTGTTATCTCTGAAGGAAATGAGGTCTGTTGTGGCACTGCCTCTTTCTATGCCATCAGGGACTATCCTTGCCTCTGTCAGGGTGTTTAATATGGCCCTGAAGTGGCTGCCTGAGATGGGCAGGGAATGGGACAGCCAGCAGCCTCAGAACAGAATGAAGAGGATCCTCACGTGCACCAAGTCACTTGGGTTCCCAAGGAGAGAGGAGGGAGTAGAACCTTTAGCAGGGACAGGAAGGAAGCCATTGCAGTCTCCAGGGCCACATCTGAGCTGGAGCGAGTGCCGTGGCTGCAGCTACTTCTTCATGACTTTTTTGATCCAGGGCAGGTAGTTGGAGATGCGGGTGTAGACCCCAGGTGGGGCATCATACCCAAAGGAAACAATGCCTTGTGCCACTTTATTGCATACCAAGGGCCCACCAGAATCTCCCTAGGGACAGATGAGACTGATTTTAGAGGCCTCTTCCCTGTGGGAACAGGTTTTCCCCTGGTCCCTCCCCGCCTAGGGGGGCTATGGCTCTGCTGCTGCCCCACATGCCCACCTGGCTGGAGGAGCTGCCCCAAGCTGGTGAGTTGGGGCTCTACCTCTGGTACTGTGCAAGGACTGTGGTGTCAAGGTGTCCAGAGAGTTGGTTCATATGGGAGCTACAGATCAAATGCTTGTTGCCTGCCCTGGGAATCAGCTCCATCTGTGGCAGCAGCAGCATCTGCTCTGAGAGAGCCAAACCCCAGCCTGCTGGCAGCCCCTACCTGGCTGGAATCCTTCAGCTGGTGGAAGCTGCCGGCACAGACCATGCCAGTGTCAAGATGTGGATAGAAGAGGATGCATTTCCTGCGGCTGTAGATGGAGACTTTGGTTTCAAAGAGCTTGTTGGTCGCTCGGTCGTCATCAATCAGACCCCAGCCGGCGATGCAGCACTTAGTGCCTGTGGGGAGGTCACTGCTGGTCTTGGGCAGTGGAATGGTCTTGACATAGTCATTGAGAGTGACCTTTGATGTCAGCTGGGAGAAAGCAGGGTTTCGGAGAAGGTTATGAGTAGAAGAGCTGAAGGATGCTTTCTGTGCAGAGGTAGGGGAGGTCTAGCAGGACACGTGGCACTGTAAGCTCTAGTGAGCTCCTGTGAATGTGGCATGTGGCTCCAAGCCCTGCCAGTGGTTCCCTCCCAGGTCCCTCCCAATCTTGCCTGCCTCCAGCAGTTTGGGCAGAAGCAGCTTTGCAGAGGTGGACCCTGCCAGACCCACAGCCCCATCCCACCCCCTGCCCCACTGCCCGCTGCAGAATCGCCTTGCCTTGAGCAACATGATGTCATTAAGCACGGCCTCAGGGTCGTATTCAGGGTGCTTGTGGTAGCTGAGAACTCCCCGGACCTGCTGGGTTTTTTCTGGTTTGTGGATGTCGTGAGCCCCCAGGATGACTGTGATATTCCTGGCCACAACAATAGAGCGTAGAGGAGGGAATAAGGTTGGGTGTCACCCAGCTCCCTCCCCTTTGGCAGGCAGGTGGAGAGAGCTGCACAGAACAGGAGGAAGAGGAACCTACTCCAGTGAAGGACATCACAGGTTAGGTGAGAAAGAAGGGGATAAAGCTCCCATATGAAGTACTCACCCCATGCAGTGTGCAGCTGTCATCACCCACTCAGGGGCCACCAGGAAGCCCCCACAGGCAGACACCCCTATCTTCAGGTATGCCATGTAAGGGTGGGAGTGGGGCTGCGCCTCATGGCCCCCCACAATCTGACCCTGTAGAGCACCTGAAAGACACCCCAGTGCAGAATGAGCCAATGGCTCCTGAGGTGAGAGCCCAGATGAGCAGCCTCACTTGCAGAACCCCAGCTTACTGGCACTGGCCCATGGGCAGGAGAGCAGGAGCAGCAGGGCCAGCAGTGGCTGAGGCTGGCACATCTCTCCCACAGCTCGACACCCCTTCCAAGATGTGTGGAAGTCTGAGTTTCCTTGTGCCCAGAGGCTGGTTTTATACCCTGGAACCAGCTGTACCCAGCAGCCAGGAAACCATGTGCAATGGGCTGATTGTGCTAATCAGAACAGGGCAGCACCCCTGCAGGTCTGTGGGCATCGCTGCTGCCCTGGTCTGCTCAGTGCCCACGTGGCCTGTGGCTGTGATTTGATGAGCGATAGCACAAGACAGAAAGGCCAGGGCAGAGAGAGCCTGGTACACCATAGTCCCAAAGCCTCAGGGATGCTGACCAGGAGAGGTGTTCTAGGGTGTTTTTTAGGAGTGATTTAACATTTCTCCCACAGTTTCTGTTTAATGTTCTTGGCTTGAGGAAATGCAAGATTTTAAAGAAAAGCCACTTAAAAAACAAACAATCAACAAAACTTTGCCATTTAAGGTCATTAATGTGGTCTAGAGGAGATGATCCCAAAACTTTTTCTTTCAGTATTCTTGTTTACCTTCAAATCAAAAGATGCACTTCAGAGACTCTTTTCCTACAGAGATCCATCATCACCAACACCCACTTTCAATGAACTGACACCCAGCCACAACAACTGTCCTTGGGACATTTCTTTGAGCACTGTGAAGGGTCAGGTCTCCAGGGTTTGGTGTCAGCCCACGTCAGAGGGGCCTTGCTGACTCTTCTTGGCTCCTCTGGGTCCAGAAGCATCCTGCCAGGTTGGGGACTGCATTGTGCCTCTGTAAAGAGGACTGCCTGCTGCTACACAGCAGAAGAGACCAAAGCGAGGAAATGCAACCACCCAACTGCCAGGAGTGATCAGTCATTTTTAAACCAGCACAACTCCACCCTTCCTGGAGCAGAAAAACACCTGTGGGCAAGTGGATGCCTTGGCTGATGTTGGGCTGTGCTAGGGCCATGCAGCGGGGACAGGATGGGTGGGTGGGGAGGTGGAGATGGGGGACATAGATGAGGATGCCAGCTGTTCATGAGCCAGCCTGAGGGCTGCCTGACAGGGCCCACTCTGTAGAGTTTTGCCCACTTTTTTTTTTTTTAATCGTATTATCAGAAAATACAAGTTTTAATCGGGACTGTGCAGCACCACAGCAGGAAAACCTCAACAGAAATCATCGATGTTTTATCTTGCACTTGTAACTTGCTGCCTTTCCCTTGCAGCTGCTTGTGGCCCCCTACAATTTGGGACCGGACGCCCTCCTGAGAACAGCAATCCCAGGGAAGGAGGGACTGGGCAGGCCACTGGCCATGGACCCAGGGAGCTGGGATTCAGGCTGCTGCTGTCCTGTTCTCTCTGGCATCCCTGACTACAGACAAATTCCTCCCTCTGGGCCCCTCATGCTTTTGCCTTCCTGTTGACCTCTGGAGAGTTCCAGGGCTCCCGCTGCTAAGGTGACTCACGTGAGCATCCCTCAATACCTGCTCTAGCCATGGATTTTGTAGGGGGTCCACAGTGCTGCAGCTCCCACCCATGCCCCCCCTGGTCCTTCCAAACCCAGGACTCGGCAGCTATCAGGCAGCTGCAAGTAGACTGTAGCTTTTATCTGGAGGAAAGAGATGAGAAACGTTGCGGGATGGGGTGTCCCGACCCCGCCTCACTTCATTGCGAAGAAAGAACATCTGAAATGAAATAGCAGCAAAGGAGAAGCACCAAGATAAAGCTCAGCCTGCGTCTGTGCAGATAGCAGCAGGGACACGCCGTACTACAGGAGCTCTCCCTCGTGTGGGTGCCCAGCCGAGGGGACTCTCACTCCCCCTCAGCCATGGACCTGGGGACTCCACACCTCAGGTCTGGTGGCAGCAGCTTTGGGGAGGACGTGGGGCTGGATTTGTGCCAGCCAGCTGTGCTCTGCTGAGCAAATTGCAAGGAGGGCAGGGGACCCATCTCCAGGCTCCTCTGGGATTGGGACCCTACCCTGACTTGCTGTGAGGCAGGAGCAGTGTCTGAGGTGTGTGGTGACCTGCAGTGGGGGGGTTGGGAGGCAAAAGTGAGTGGAGGGGCTGGAAGGGCTGAGACACAGCTGAGACACAGCTCAGGCAGCTTCCCAGAGCTAGTCCCTCTCTCTGCATACAACATGCCTCACAGGTACCCAGCTCATTCTGCCATGGAATGGCCAAACAAACTAGATTCTAGGACAAGCAAGGAACAAGGTTTTGCCTCACTGGAACAGCTCTTGACAAAATAATTAGCACTGTCTTTTAGGCAACACCTGATGTGCTTATGTAGGGGGCATTAGGAAGAGCCTCCAATATTTTGCTGGTCCAGAGGACCTGGCACCCCATGGATGAGTGTGTCAACCTGTCCCAGCTGCTCATCTGCCTTGAGCCCTCCTGCCATTAAAAATGTTGCCACCCACCAATCCCATGCTTTCCACAGATCTCCCCTGCAAAGAGCTCATTCCTGTCAGGAATCTCTGTTCTGAGACTCCTCACATGCTGCCAGCTCTTTGAGAAGCTACTTAGGGCCCTCGAAAAGACAAATGTCTCCATTCTCTGATCTTTCAGGAACATTCCACCAGTTCTGTCCTGAGCAGACAAGTTAGCTGGAGGCTCATCCTGAAGCAAGAGCAAAGTGAGGGTTATGTGTAAGGGTCACAATGATCCTTTGGATTCCAGTTCTTCACGGGGAGCATCAGCCCAGAGCATTTGGGAGTGTGCTCTTCATGCTGAACGTGCAAACCTGCACTCCTCTAAACTGAGCTGCACTCCTGGCCCAGCCTTCCTGCTGATTTCCGCTCCTTCAATCTTGGGGTCATCTGCTGACTTTATCAGCATGAGTTTCTTTCCACACTGCTGATAAAAGGCCAAAACAACGGCTGAAAGGGTGAAGGTGGAGGATGGAGCCCTCAGCTTTTGATGAGAACCACTCTTGCTTGCACATGACTTCCTGCAGCAGGAGCCCCCTATGCATTTTCCACTTGTCTATGCTGCCATCCAGGCTAGAACCTCTCCACTCATCCAGCAGTGGACAGACTCCCTGGACAACTCCCTGTTTGCCATGCTGATGGAAAAAGTCACCGCTCTTTGCTCTCAGCCTGGGGACTTCTTCATGAATTTGTGCCAGTCTGGAGTGAGAACACAGGTTAAAGTAGGACATCATCTGCTGTGATCCTGAGTTAAAACGTCTTCTGTCTTTCTTTTATCTATGCCTTTTTGCAGATGATTTGGGTGGGGTCCATCCTCCACACAGAATGTGGTTGATGTTGTAACTTCCCTTTTTCAACTTTGATAGGTAGAAGTCTCACTTATTTTGCACAAGGAGCTCTCCCCTCTACCTGCTCTGTCCTGGGTCTTGGACAAGCATCTGGAGGGCACTGCCAACTGAGGAACCTCCCTCCAGCAGCAAGAGCCTCATACCAGCCATGACAGGTGAGTCATAAGGCAAATTCCCAGCCACAATTGGGAATATTGCATTGCAAGACTCTCTCCAGTTGAGTTTTGCAGATGTAGGGAATAGGTCAATGATAGACATTAATATTACAATCACATTTGGATTCCTTGGTTCCAATCTCAGTGCAGCACTTTGTGCCTTCTGCAATGACGAGAGGCAGCACCTTTTTGCCTCCTTCCCTGCCTGTGGCCCAGACAATGGAAAGATTCTGGCCCATCTCTAGAAGGTGCTTGAAGGTGTGGGGGGGTGCAGTGTCAGGGCACATGCTTAGCTTTGACCAGCTGGTTCCCTTTGAACTGGATGGAGCTAAGCCCCAGCTTCAGTCACATGGGTGTCTGGAGTTGCTGCACAGACTGCAGGACGTGGATGGACCTGTTTTGAGAGAGTGGCAGGAGCTGGGCCCACAGAGAAGCCCAGAGGGGTGACAGCTTGGCGCTTACTCCTGAAGAAGGATGTATCTGAGCATGGGTGGTGCACAGGGCAGTTGATGAAGAGGCAGTTGCTCTCTGGCAGGTTCAGGGATGAATTTAGTACCACAACAGGCAAAGCACTTAGTGTCTCAACTGTCTGCTTTAATAGCTCTTACGAGCACTTGGTTCAGTTCAGCCCCACGGGCCTCACCCATCAAGGTGGGAGGTGTTGCTTCATTTGACCCAGCCTGCTCTGACCCAAAGAGGGGCCTGACACATTATTTCATTCATGTCCCACCACTACAACCACAGCAAAGCTGATGATAGCCAAACCCTTACCAAGAAATGGTGATAGCTGTTAGAAACAGTGTACTCTCACTCACAACAGGAAACTTTATTAAACAACAGGAAGCCTATGTTCACGGTGGACTTACAAAACACCTCACTCTCCTCTCCCCTTGCTCTTTCAGTGCTGCAGGGCTGACAGACAGGACTCTAACTCTCATCTCCACACTAAGCAGGGCTGTTGGGTTTAGAGCCAGTCCTGTGTGGCAGAGTCTCATGGTTACTTTAGCCCTTAAACAGAGGATCTGCTCTGCCCCAACCCCTGCCTGATCCCTTCCTCCATCGTGTATCCCTTGGCTGCTGACTCAGCCTCAGAAGATGGATGGTCCAGTGCTAAACTGGCTGTTGAATCACTCCCTTCTCCTTCCACTGGACTCTGCTCAATATCCTGAGCTCAGACTTGACCTGCTCGACAGGAAAGGCTCCTGCCTGCAGCTGGCTGCCATGAGGAATGTGAACATCATCCTGCAGCACTACAACTTCACAGGCAAGCTAACCAACCGGCAGTCTGGGGACGAGGGCATGGGTCTCATCCACACAATCTTCGTCATCATCAGCTGCATCATCATCCTGGAGAACCTGCTCGTGCTGCTGGCCATCCTGCGGTGTCTGCGAGCCCGCCGCTGGGTCTACTCCTGCATTGCCAGCATCACTGTGAGTGACCTGCTTGCAGGAATCGCCTACCTCTCTAATCTCTGCCTCTCAGGCAAGAAGACTTTCCAGCTTTCACCTCAGCTCTGGTTCCTGCGGGAAGGCATCCTGTTCATTGCGCTGGCTGCCTCCACCTTCAGCCTGCTCGTGACAGCCATCGAGCGTTACAGTGCCATGGTGAGGCCGATCGCTGAGAACGAAGCCAGCAAGACCCTGCGCTTACGCAGCCTCATCATTTCCTGCTGGCTGCTGGCCTTCGTCATAGGACTGCTCCCACTGCTGGGCTGGAACTGCCTGTGTGACTTCAGTGCCTGCTCTGTGCTCCTGCCTCTATACTCCAAGAACTACATCCTTTTCTCCGTAGTCATGTTCAGCATCATCCTCCTGGGGATTATTGGCCTCTACATCTCCATCTTCCAACTGGTCCAGGCCAGTTCTAAGCAAACCAGTTCTCGGCACAGCCGCAAGCGTTCCCTGCGCTTGCTTAAGACTGTGCTGATGATCCTGGGTGCCTTCATCATCTGCTGGAGTCCCCTCTTTGTTCTGTTGCTGTTTGATGTCTTCTGTGAGACCCAGACCTGCACACACCTCCACAGCTTGGACTGGACCTTGGCTCTGGCCTTGCTTAACTCCGGTGTCAACCCCATCATCTATTCCCTGAGGAGCGTGGAGGTGCGCCGTGCCGTGGGAAGCCTGCTGTGCTCCTGCTGTGTCAGGGCTGGGCTTTGCAAGCCTGGGAACTGCATGGTCATCACAGATATCAACTCTGGCTCATCCACAGAGAGCTCACTGCGCTACCGGGAGAGTTTCCGCAGCTCTGTGGCACTCAATGCTAGGCCCAGAGCACCTCTCTCCAGCAACTCCAGCATGATGAGCAATCTCCCCAGCCTCTGAGAGGCCGTGGGAAGAGCAAGACATGCCAGAGACAGCTCCCAGGACCTCATTCTGCTGGTCCTGGCCTGGCAGAACTGTAGCCTACGTGCAACTCAGGCTGACCATGGGCAGCCCCACCCCAGTTGTTAACTGGGCTTTCCAGTCCCATCAGACTGGGATTTTGTTTCAGTGTGGGTGCAGCACAGGGACAGGCATTGCTCCCAGGCTGGGAGAGGAAGATACGGGCACATTTTAGGATTGATGCTCTGCTGAGACAGCTGCAGTGCCTAGGTTATAAGTGTGTGTGCTCTGTGTGTGCAGACAGACGCTGTACCTGCCCAAATGAGGGTATTTTGCCCCAGGGCACAGTGACAAGTAAGCTGGGCATCCCCAACCAGATGGCCCCCCTTACCCCTTGAGGTCGGGCTGGGTTGGCAGTGCCGCCGCTTCACATCATGCAGGGCTGAAGGTGATACTTTGAGTCTTCTCCTGAAGTTTACAGCCTTCTGGAACTGCTGTGACGGGCACAGCTGCTGAGAAAGAATGCAGGCTTGATGTCAAGAACAACTGGATTTGCAAGTGCAACTGTGTGCTGTTGTGGGGCGGTTCCGAGCCCCCTGGCCGGGAGTCAAGTGCCCACCTGCAGTGCAGCACAAACCAGCCAGAGGACAGCAGAGGGCTGCAGCAACAGCCTGGGCCCTCCCTGGAGTGCTGAGGTTGGGCACTATGCCCGGGCAAATGCTGTAACAGCGCTTACAGTCTGGCAGCAAGAAGTGAGAGCCCTGCCCTGCCTCTGGGCATGGGGCTGCACCTGCAGTGACAGCCCGAGCACTACCACAGTGACTGGGGAGCCTGGGGACACCCTGGGTCTGACAGAGACACCCCAGGGCCTGAAGACACTGCCAGCTTGTGCCTCAGATCCCTGCTCCTCTATTCCCTAATGCAGGGAATAATCAGAGGAGCACTCAAACACACCCTCTCACCCCGCAAAAAGGACAAAGCCACGGAAGCACTGTGGGCTCGCACAAAACCTGCTGGCCCAGCCCCTCCACGGGAACTGTTATCAACCCATTTGTTTTGCATTAAATTGAGGCGACCAGAAAGTCTTGGGTTAATTTTGCTGTAAATTTTTTACTTCCTGAAGGTCAGGTACCCGGTCTCCGCCGCATAATCCAGAAGCCGGGTAGCACCCGGTAGCAGACGTTCCCTGTAGGCCCGGGACAGCCGGAGCCCGCCCTCCCGTTCCCAGGACAGGGGGATCAGCCCGCTGAGTCCCCCCTCCCACCCAGTCCCGTTCCGTTCCGTCCCATCCCACCTCACCTCGTCCCGTTCCATCCCACCCCACCCCGTCCCGTCCCGTTCCACCCCGTCCCGTCCCATCCCACCCCACCCCGTCCCGTCCCGTTCCATCCCACCCCATCCTGTCCCACCCCCTCCCGTCCCGTCCCGTTCCACTCCATCCCGTCCCGTCCCATCCCACCCCATCCCGTCCCGTCCCGTTCCATCCCATCCCGTCCCGTCCCGTTCCATCCCACCCCACCCCGTCCCGTCCCGTCCCGTCCCGTCCCACT